ATGATTATAATTCCTTCAGATCTTTCGATTCAACTTTCATTGCGACATCAGTTACATCAGACAGATTCGAAATGTGTACCTGAGGAGATGCTTACAATGAAGAAAGCAGGGGAGTCAGTTGAGCAGTAGTGTAAACGAAACAGCAGCAGTAACAGATAAATAGCAGCAGGACAAATTCCAGTGCAAGATGCAATTATAGACGAGGGAAGAGGCAGCAAAATGACAACAATAAGCAGGGAAGTAGAATCAGAATTCAGACAATCCAATTCCAAGAGAAACAGCCAATACGAACCAACAACAAACTTAGCTGATACTTGAGAGAAAAACAGAACTGATTTGAACCAACTAAGAATCGAACAAACAGCAGGAAGAAAACATNATCCCTATCTATGATTCTTTTGCGACTTGATCTTGGGCCTTAGCTGATTTTGCTTGGAGACTTCGATCCGAATCTTGATGCTTGCGAGTTGTAGGTGCTTGTTTAATCTCTGGGATGCTGAGTGAGACGTGACTGGCAGAGTTTAGGACCTTAATCAAATGTTGGAGTCGATCTGCCTTTCATTTACTCCGATATCTCGGGACATCTTCTTTTTGTCTTTTTCTTCTTTGATTCTGAGTTGAGACTCATCTCATGGGTCGTTTCGATCCGTGTGGCGCGAGGTTAGGCCTGCGGGAAAAAACAAACGAACGAAATTTTCTGCCCCAGTTTCACTAGGAAAATTTCGTGAATTATTCGCCGGGAAGTTCATAAAATTGATGAAAGAGGATATGAATGCTCAGCNTCTCAAGGTTGAACGGACTTTAATCGAAGTGTTTCTCAAATGAGAAACACTTCGATTAAGGTCTATTAGACCCTAATCTCATGGCTTAAACGGACAAGGACCAGGCTTGGGGTTTCTAGGGTTCGTAGATGGTAGATTTGGGACTTGGGCTTCCATGGTTAGATTCGGACCAAACCAAGTATGGTTTGGTCACGAGGGAGGTCCGGGGACTATCTGGTATGAAACTGGGGTGCATCGGTGTAAGTTGAGGTTCTGCTCGAATCTTTAAATGAAGATTCGAGCAGCTAGGAACTGATTCGAGGGAAAAGGATAACAGCTCTATGCTCAGGATAATGAGGTGGTCCTATGGTGTCAAAGAGGGGGTCACCGGCGTCCATGTCGCCGGCTTTCACGGTGAAGGTGTACAGGGGCGGCTAGGGTTTGGGGGACTGTGGTGAGGACGATGGAAGGTAGGGGTATTTGGATAGGGGGTGGTGTACGAGTGGAAGCTTATATATGGAGTGGGTGAATGGATCCTGGCCATTGGATGAGACACGATGAAGGGCCAGGATCCTTCAGCTAACGGGAAACGGTGTCGTTTCAAGTGTAAAGGGTTGGGGTCGGTCCGGGTAGAATAGGTCGGGTTCATCATGGGTTATGGGGAAGTGATTCTTGGCCGTTGATCAATCTGAGATCAACGGCCTAGATCAGACTCGATCACTACGACGTCGTTTGGACGCTCTGGATGTCAGCTGGTGTGGACCAGGTACACATGGGGTTTTGGGTTTGATTTTGGGCCTCGAATTAAAACGAAAACAAGCCCAAACTGATTTCAACCCAATTCTGCACTCTCTTTTTATTATATTTTTTATTTTAAAACAAAACCTAAGTAAATCAAATTAAAATTTATTACTTAAACATTTAATACAATTATTTGAACACATATATTAAAATATTTAAAGCAGGTAAAATCAAACAAAATAACAATCACGGACAAAGATGCATATTACNAAAACCCTAATGCTGATTAAAGGAAAAAGTTCAGTTTAGGGTTTAAAACCCTAATACTGACTAAGGAAAAGAGTTCAGTTTATAGTTTAAAAACCCTAATCCTGATTAAAGGGCAAAGTTCAGTTTAAGGTTTAANTTTGTTTTAATAATAATAAAAAATGGACAAAAATCATAGATAATTAACAAAATGCCACGTGAAAAATCCAAAAATTGTACAGCAAGACCGATCGCTATTATTTTTTGTTTCTTTTGGAGTGATTGTCGCGTAAAATAAAAATCACGTGCTCACAATAGTGAGCCAATACAACACTCATAACAAGTCTTTTATGCAATCAGTCGTTAAAACTTGTAAACTTCTATGCAAGAATAGCAAGTTCCTTTCTTTAACATTCATATATTTGGGTAGACGAAAAACTGACCTAATAGGAAATCATGTGTGTTTTTCACGATATTTAAATCCCCTCTATTGCAAACATCAACCTATTGAAGATACTGACCTAAAAAAGCTCTTGCAATCACAAAAGTAATCTAACGGAAACCAAGCACAGACTCCCAACTCTACTTTAATTTCTCAGTGTTAATACTTAATTTATGCTCTTTCTTTCTTGTTTTTTCTTTAACCAGACTTAATATTTTCTTCTTAATAAGTCAGAAACAAACCAAGAAAACCTGTAGGCATTGCGACATCGACAGTTGAAATCTTTAGCTTGATTATAATAGAAAAATGAAAAGATAAATATGTAAAAATCCTGCTACCTAGATTATGACTTATATAGGCTTCATAGATAGTGAACATATGTCCATGTAATCAAAATTGACTGGATAAGTTTGATGTCACAGATGTTTCGATCAAAATAAGTATGGATCAGAGGTTTAAATCAGTATGGATCAGAGCATAAAGAATACCCTTCTACTGATGCACATGTTATGATAGAGTCCATTTAACACTTGCATAACATTATGTATACTTGAAAATGTCCTTAACATGACTATATAAGTAATGTTGCTTTCTATATTCCAGTAAAATTTCGGTTGACAAATTCTAATTTTTGTGCACGTAACATGTTATCTAGGGAATAAGCTGTTCAATGAAAGTAATTCATTCGCTAATCTGGTAATTTAAACAACTAAATAGCAATTTCTAAGTTCTCAAGTAATACTTTATTATCTAGCACTAACAATCTCTAACATCTAAGATTTTTTGTTTACATATGTCCCTGAGGGAATTTCCTCCGCTGCTCATGCATCTGTCGTAGAGCCTGGAGATCCACTACTTAATGAGAAGTTTGTAAAAAGAAGTCAACTAATGAAATGACAATCACTATTATAGTCAAGGAAATCATGTGTAAGGATTACAATTTGAACTAAGTTGCATTTTCACTATGCTCTACAAGCAATCCCAGAAAAACGCATGCTACCTCAAATAGAGAAAAAGATCGAAGGCTTAAAGTTGGTCAATAAAATTACAAACCCGAACATACATAGACCGGTTACCCAAAAAAAAAAAAAGAAACTCACACAGATAAGAACCTATAAAACCAAAAACCAAGTATCAAATTAGTCCCAATTTTTACTTCTAATGTTTTATTAAAGAGTTAGTGACCGTGATTGAACAAAAGAAAAGTTTATACCGTTCATTTCGCAAACAAACTGCTCGAAGGAAAGGGTTGACCAGATCTTTCAGCTTGAGCTCCCTCCTCAACACACAAATCATAAAAGTCAATGAATTTACGAATTTACTATCACTGCGACATCAAAATATAATCACGACCAAAGAATTAAAAGACCAAAATACAGAAACCATATAGAACAACAGAAAAGGTAATAAGAAGACCAAAATGAAGAACAGAAAATAAAATCATAGTACAAAGAAATCATTAAAAAAATAGAGATAATTTAGATCTCCTAAATTAGCCAAAGCTTAAGCATACGACTTCAATAACATAAATAGCTAAGGGTAGCATCATATGTTAACCGAGGAAAGTCGAGCAACAATACATAAACGAAAGATACCAACTTTGAGCTTTGAATAGCCCAGTCGCCAGTCGCCACTCACTGAAGAGACAAACTGAAAGAAACCCGTCCGCTCTAACAGATCTGGATTCAAAGCATCAAGAACATTAGCATAGCTCTATGGGCATGCAATATTTTTTTATTGAAATGCATAAATCAGCAAAATCTGAACAGAGGAAGATGAAATAGAAGCCGGGAAAAGACGACGAACAAAGAGCAAGAAAATGGCCAATACATATCTACTCAGTTGCAGGGTTAAATCCACTTTGCATTAAGTATCGTGAAAAGTCTGAGGAAACAAAAGTCTGAAATATCCTCAGATAAAATTTTAAAGAAAGCGAAATTGTACCTCTGAGTAACCAAGAAAGCCTGTTCCGGAAGGACTAGTCAATAGAAAAAAAGAGCACCAACTGAAACAGAGAAAGAAAGATATCAAACAATATATTAAAAGAATCATGTTTAAAGAGTAAAACTAACTTTATTAAATAACAACACTAAATAGGTATTGTGCTATTACAAACAAAAGTAACGACATTCATTTCTAATTTTGAAGTCTGCTAATAAAATCTAGCATATTAATAGAATCCTTAGTATAATCGTTTTTGCACAAGAAGGACAACAATGCTAGACACTTGTATATAATCATACTGACCCACTCTGCTTTGCTTTTGCAACACCTAACATTTTTCTCTCCCTATATGGTCCACTAAATTCAAGCCAAGATCGTTGTCCATACCTTCTTTTTCTATGAACTCTTTCTTGATTTTGGCATTGACTATTTCAAACTGTAATATGTTCCATAATTCTACGGTCGCTTCACATTGAAGGAATATGTTGTTATTTTCTTCACTTCCCTTTTCACTAAGCAACACCTCTTACACATCTTGTATCTTTTCCTTTGCAAATGACAAACCTCATAGGATGCAAACTTTAGAAAATGTTAGACCTTGTAGGGATTACTTGTTTTTAAAATCTTTTTCTATGGCCACTTCCTTGTGTATTTCTTAGCATCAGGGCCTTGTAACAAGATTTAACAGTGAAGTTTTCTTCACCATGATGTTTTAAGAATAAATTATCCTGTTTCTTCTTCCACACGATATCTCATAACCACTTCACGATTAAACTCTCGATTGTATCCTTTCTCTTTATTTCTAAACCTATCATCTTCTTATCCATTATGACACTGTCCCACTTTATTAGATATATTGCTTCTTCTCTTTGTTTCCTTGCCATAAAAAATTGCTTCTCATTTCGTCCAACTTATTTGCAACCTTTATAGGCACTGGGAAGAGTGACATCACATAAGTAGGCATTGCATCCAAAATACCATGTAATCAACACCACTCTGCCCCTCAAAGATAAATATTGTTTTTCTGTTTGCATACTTTTTTCCCACATCTATCAATCACCCTTTGCCATCTCACTAGCCTTGTGTCTTGCTCCTAAAAAGAAGCCCAAATAAGTGGTTGGAAGAAAACATATTTCACAATAAAATTCCTACAAGTTCTGTATATTGTCTATTTCATTCACAGGTAATACGTATCTCTTTGTCCAGTCTCAACTCAGATACTGCTTCAAACTTGATCAGTATCATCCTTAGGTATCTCAACCGACTAACACTTGCATCATATATTACTAACTAGATGATGCAAGCCCGTGCTTAGCACGGGCCCAACACTATCTCAGTATTCACTATTCACTATAACACGCCTCCGCTTTGAGTGCCCTAAACAATAATCTGTAATTTCTAACAAAATCATATGCAACTTTAAATACACGTTGGAGGTTTTTAGGCAAACCATATCTGCTTCAGCTAGATTACTTTTATACTCCCTCCGTTTCAATTTATGTGAACCTATTTCCTTTTTAGTCCGTGCCAAAAAGAATGACCTCTTTCCCTATTTGGAAACAATTTACCTTTATGCAATAATTTATAGCCACACAAAATATATGTGCTTCATTTACACCACAAGTTCAAAAGTTTTCTCTCTTTTCTTAAACTGCGTGCCCAGTCAAATGGGTTCACATAAATTGAAAAGGAGGGAGTATAATTTAAGAGAATAGATAAAAAAGTTTTGTTTTTGTACTGAAGATCTTTTGGTAGAAGGGAATTCATATAGCAAATGGATGGTGAAATTTTAAACTAAATAGAAACTTATTCTCACAAACATAAGGTTGAATTATGATCTTCCTTCAGTATTTTACATACTATACTGATACCTTAAAAACTCTACAGCAAAACAAAATGCAACTCTTGCATTTATTCTGTTCGAATAATATACTCGAAATCACAATCTAAAGTTTCAAACTGCCAAGTGAACCAACATAATTAAAGTAACCCAAGAGCATATCAAAATTCCTATTAAGGTAGTACAACAAATATTTCCGACATCATATGATATCTCAGGGGGGTATTATTTATACTTCTTTAAACGGAGTAAGGCTCTAATTTGAAAAAGTTTAAGCACTAAGTATGTTCTTAAAAATCACAAAAGGTAAATGAAAAAGATAAGATTTAGTTTAAGTGCAGTAAACTGAAAAGAGGCAAAAAAAGAAAAGAAAAAAAAAGACAGTTTACCATTAAAAATACTAAACTAAAAATTGTTAAGTGAACTTATTCCAACTGCGCTAAAAGTATCTGGCCCTTCTCATTTTCACTTCTTAGTCTAGAAACAAATTCTATCGGAGCCTGCTACTAATAGCGATGCCTTGTATACTTGTAAAGGCGACAGAGGAATATGTCAATATGGCCAAGAAAAAAGTGGGTTGTTTGCCCTAAATTTAGTACATGACAGTAGTTTCTCTAATGCGGTTATCCAATTTTCAATTATAAGAAGTTGTACTCAAGTAGATTAACGATAGTTGGTATCTATTATTGCATTATACCTTCAAGCTCTTATGTATCTGACAAATTGTCTAATTAAATTAGTTACCAACTGAGATGAGCTAGAAGCCTAGGCAAATGTTCATATAATCACGATTAAACGTAGTGCTATAGACTATATTGAAAATAAGAAATGATACTTTATAACCTCATTGAAGAGAATATGACAACAAAATGACGATGAAATACACTTGTCTTAAACTANACTAAAAATTGTTAAGTGAACTTATTCATTGAAGAGAATATGACAACAAAATGACGATGAAATACACTTGAATTTATTAACAATAGAATGCTCAAAAAGACGACGATATAGATGTCTCACATTGTCTTAAATTCATCCCAGAATTCATATATACTTTGACCTTAATAATGCTAAGCTCAAAGAGCTATTATGGTTTACAAACTTTTCACAAGGAAGTTTTGTTTATTGTTTATTTAAATCTAACACCAGATAGAGATAATGAAAAGTATAGTCTCATTCAAAGCTTGCACGACAAAGCAAACATAAACGACACAAATTATATTATGGTATTACTAATACGAAGAGCATAAATTTCTTAACAATGACACAAAGTACACTTCATTCATTCCAATGACATATACAAAATAATAATTTTTATCAGTTATGTATAAAGTCATAGTTTATGCATTGATTCCCGTCAAGTAAAATAGCATAAACTTACCTTTTTAGGTTGACGATGCCTCTAACTATACTTCAAAGTTCCTGAAAATAACGACAACAAAATAACTTTATTTTGACAACAATTTATCTGTAATCATGAATAAAAGAGTTTGCAGTAACATGTTCAGATAGGAAGTTACAAAGCTAGGTATAATAAACAGTTAATTTTAATCAATACAACTTAGTAGTTCAGAAAACACTGAATGCAATAACATTTCATCTCTATATGACAAAGCACATACAATAATCTTTTATTAATTTATTATACACTCTGCAAAAGTACATTACCCAGGAATATGATTCTGTCACAGCAGTCCATTTGATCGACAAATAATAAAGAGAGAAACACACAACGAATTGACATCGACATCCATTCTATCTCCTTTTTAATGTGTACTCTGCTATATATCTAAAGGCCTAAGCTCGGTGTTCCAAAAGAGGGGCATCATAAAAAAATAAAAAAAAAATCAAATTCCAATGGTGACATTTTGTAGGTAATCTTTTCACAGTAGCAATGCATAAATTTTCAAAACATAGAATAAACCTGAATAAAAAAATAAAATAAAAAAAGACCCCTACGATAATTTCAAGTAGCAGAAGAATTATACTCAAAAGTCTGCGAATTAATTTAAGTTGTTGTCTTGACACATAACTTGCATAGATCCTGTGTCAGAAATGTGCTAAAATCAAGAGATTGTTTTAGCTTATGACAAATTCAACTAATTACCAACTTGAAAATTCATATTATCTTCCAAGAATATGAATTAATAAAAATGGGTTTACTAACTCCAGCAATAAAACAGGGAAGACATAAGAGAAATGGAAGAAATTTTGGCAAAAAATAAGAAAATCATACTTGAAATTAATTATATCCCCAAGCCGAGTAGACGAAACGAACTGAAACTCTGAAAGGGTAGTCTTTGGAAGACTGAAGAGAAAATAAAAATCATGCAAAAATAACAGATTAAAGGCGAAAAGTGAAACAGAAAGAGAATGAAATGCCGAAGAACATTGAAAAGAGAGGCAGGAAAATAACAACATTAGGCATGACTTTGGAAAATTCTAAGAGAATTAGAAGAAGATTTGGGCAAAAAATTACTAACAGAAAAGCATACCTGAAACGACAATGCCAGATGCGGTGATGAAGAGAAGTGAGAGAATATGAAATTGATATTGGAATAAGAGTAGTCTTGCGTTTGATTTTGGGGATGAGAAAGATTGAAGAAGGATGCTTCTAGAGCCAAACCTGGAAACAACAAGAAATAAACACCAATGATAAAAGTAATTATTTTAATAAAAATATTTAAATTACTCTTTTACCCTTGGTCGACCTCTTTGGCTTTTCTATATAATAGAAATAGAAATGTGTCATTAGCGATATGGTATGTGCGAAATGCTTAATAAGTTCTAACTCTTAGATCCCACCTTGTCGGTATGCTTCTACCGGTTTGTTCCATTTTACCTTTAAGAAAGAAAAGAACTCTAAAGAATAAAAGAAGGATCAAAGAATCCAGAATGAGCTTTGTCGAACAGATATATTAATTTTGTAATAAAATGTATTAACTGTACAGAAGAAAAGAATAAAAAAAATAGTAACAAATGCTCCGAAAAATCAAGCATTTATTTGCTTAATTTATATACCATTTACTCTAGAACAAATAATCAAGCAACACTGGAAGATAAAATCCTTCTTCTCAGAACAGCAATGTCATTGCAAAATTAGGAGGTATGAAGAGAACCAAGAAAAATCACTAAAAGAAAAAATAAATGCATAAAGGAAGTATTAAGAGAATCTAAGTGCTATGAAGAAAAATCTGAAAATAAACAGAGGAAGATGAAGCGAAGAACTTTTTACGCACTGTGAAGCTATACCCAAAATTTGTCTTCTTAATTAGGCTTAACACCCATATCAGTGTAGCGAGAAGCCTTTAATCTCAGTAAATAAAATTGTGTGTGGGCTGTAACTTGTTGAAAGAGCAAAAAAGGGGAGAGAAAGAACAATAAAATTAACGATGAAGATGAAGGAATTATTTCTTTATCAGATGCGCGATCTTTCGTTTGCTCACTGTTATTAATCAAAATTCAGCAAGATTAGAGGCTTATAAATGGAGTTTCACCATCAAATTTAACACACCAGCAGTTGGATTAAAAATTTAAGAAATATGAAGAGGGCCAAAAAGAAGCATCTGAAAGGAAAAAATGAAGAAAAGAGAAGAAGATATAGGCAGAAATTAAAAGCGGAGCAAACCTGTATCTAGAACTCCCAGTAACACCCTTGAGATCAAGAACATGGACTTTTGACAGAGCCTGTTAAAATTGGACCGACTGAAAGAAAATAGGGATTTCTCCCTTCGAAAACAGTTGGAGCGATGTGGAATATACACGTGGAGTATAAGCGAACAATTAAAAGACACGTTACATCAATTGGTAAGTGATGCTAAAAGACCAAAATGCCCTCATCCTTACTTTAAATGACACTTAAGCAGACATGTCGAAAAACTTGCACTTCTAAAGTATAGAAAAAAGTGGGGATTTATATAGAAACGAGATGACCTGTTCTTTTGATGAAAGAGAGGTCTACAAGTTTCTGGAGAAAGTTTGAAGAGGGGGACACTTGGAAAAATAACGTAGACAATAGTTCTGGAATGTTCATTATTGCTCTTGAATATTCAAGGATAACACAGGATTGTAGTCACCTGACAGATAATAAAATTCGACGTTTACAAATTGAACCCTCAAACCAACATGCAGCTTGAACGATATTTCTCTACTTTAGAAGAGTAAGACTCTCGACATGTCTGCTTCAAATCTTTTTAAAGAAGCTTGAGGGCAATTCAGTCATTTCACAACAGTTTTATATGTGCCCTTTTGTGTGCTCCCCAGATACTACGTGTAGCGTTTAAGCTACTTCCACATGTACGCTTCACTTTTCTCTTCTAATATATCGTATACAATGGAGTTACAAGCTTAAAATTTTCTACCGTCTTCTCAAATCTCTTCAGCTTACAGGTAAATTTCTTACTCTTTAAAATTAATCTTGTTTCTATCTATGTATTTTTCTCCTTTTTTGTTCCAATTTGTTTCAACCCACATACAATTTTTTTTTATATCAATGGCAATAGAGGTTTACCGCAAATTCATGAAAATAAAATAAATTAAAGACATATTTTGTCTGTATTCAAGAAGATCCGGAAATTTTCGAGTTAGGGTTTTGATGAATGAAATTGGGGGAACGTTCTTTTTTTTTTTTGTGGAGATGAATTGAAATCCAGAGTTTAGCTTTGAGTATTCAATTTCTTTCAAAACTTGTATTGCAAATGTTTGGCTTCTCGCTCTAAAGTGTAGCTGTAGGTACTTTTTTTTTTCTTGGTTCTTCCTTTTCTTTGGGTCATTATTATTAGCTTTGAAATTTAATGGTTCCTAGTATCTTTTTCTCTCATTTTTTCTTCTTTTTCCCCTTTGTATTCTTTTGGCTAATTCTGAAGTTAAGTGGCTATTGCAGGTTCTCTTCATCTGTTTCTTCTCTGATTTTTCCAAAATCCTGTTCCTTTTTTTTTTGTTCTTTTCATGATTTTTGATTTTGTAATAGAATCGAGTGGTAAAACTGCATTTTTAAACTTTAACCTTGCTGAGTTTTGAAGTTCCGTGCTCTCCTGGGTGCTTCACGTACTTGTTAATTTTGCAATTTGAGGGCGGTTATAATGGGAGAAAAATATGGTTAATCATAATATTTTAACAGACTGAAGCATCAATTTGGTGAAGGTGTTTCTAAAGCTCTTATCAAAGAAGTGTCTTAAAAATTTTATTGTCTTAATAATTTTTTTTAACAACCTTTTAGTATTAAATGACAATTGAGAGTCAAAAACAATGAGCCCAATGACCAACTTGATTTTGATTAAAGAAACAGAGTACTTTTATTGGTAAATTTCTGGTGTCCTAGGTATTTTCACACACTCATGTGGCTGAAAACCTTGACTTTTGATGTGGAAGTTTTTAATTATTAAATAGTAGTCTACTCTCAAGTTTCATATATGTTTTCCTGGTATGTTTTCTTCCCGTTAAATGACTTTGATGATCTATCTTTGCGTCAATGATTACTGTGAGTATATTCGTTAGATGTTACTTATTATAAAAAAGTCTGTGGTAATTAGTTTTCTTAATTTCTTGAAATGGTTGATGCATAGGGCACTATGGTTGTGTTGATGAACAATGCACTTTATTTGAAAAGAATTACTATTCACCTCTGTCTAATTTTCTTTCATGTGTTACAAGAGATGATCTATATAATGAGAATGACTAATGGATGTATACCTACGTACAATGACGTTTAGAGTAGTGATAATAGACTGAATACATGTTAAATTTTAGATAGTGAATCTAACCATTATGGTCCCTATAGGCAGCATGTTGGACTATTATGAAGCAAACAAGCTTGACCTTAATAAAGTGAATATTTTTACTTGATAAGAGTAATAAGAGAATATACGACGGATTAGAAAATCATTAAAATTGACTTTAGTCATTAAGAAATCAACATGTTGAATCAATATTTTGGATATCATTTTGCTGATTGTATGTATTGATGAGTATTGAAGCTACAAGTCCTTGCTTAGATGATCATCTTTTGTTCTTGCTAAGTTGAACATCTTTTAGTTTGCATATAGTTGTTGCTTGTTACTGTTACTTTGATAGTTCTTAGTCCCTAACTAGCAGATATTCCATACATCCCAAAAGAAAAAGAATTACTTTGATCTTTATGGTTAGAGGTGCTTGATGTGTGTTTTAGAGTGGAGGTGGATAAGAAAGCATTCTTTTAGTTTCTTTATTCTAATAACTGTATAGGAATGCTTTGTACCATGGATTTTATTGAAAGGGTCCTCCAAATAACATAGTAAATTGTTTTCGCAATTGTTTTAACTTAGAGGCCAGAAGAAAAACTATTGTTTGCTGATTTTCTTGACTATGTTAGTTGGACTATGCCGTGATGCATACAAAATTAGTTGTCATCTTCACATTTAATAAGGATATTTTTTTCCTGTAAGAATATTAAGTCTTGCGTGTAGTCCAGTGAGGCATCAAGTGCTTCTGTAAAGGATCATTGGAATACCATACATTTTAGAGTTTATCAATTTGTTGTTTAAGTTAAAGAATTAGTTTTTATATTTTGCCAATCCAAGCACAAACCATATCCTGTTTGACGGTCTTCTTTATATATGAAAGTAAAATTGTGTGTAAAATCTATTCGAAATAGCCATCTTACATGTCACTTTTGTCAATCAAGAACTTTATACCTTGGATAGTATTCATAAACATTTTTTGTTGTGTAAAAGCTCATTTAAGTTTATTGACCATCCAATAGAGTCATGAGTTCAGACTGTATTTCTCTATTATAAAGAGATCTTCCCTTCCACAGTAGATTAAGAGGTTGAACATACCCAACATGGTGCTAATGTGAATACAATGATCAGTATCTGTAAGAGCTTGTCTGTTCGCATATCTATTTTTTTTCCTTTTTCATGTTGGATTAAAGAGTCTCTAACAATCTTTATTGTATTTGATCGTGCAGATATGTCTTATTTTAGAAGCTACCTCACTGATAAAATAATATGAGAGTAATATGATGGTTAATATAAGATAGTAGCATAACAGTTGAAACTTGCTGATAGGTTTATTTCTTTTTAAGTAATATGTATCCGGTCTATTTGGAATATGGCATTTATGAGGATGAATCTCACTAATAAGTTGTCTGATGTTAATACTCCTGGTGGAAATTATCATCTTATATATACATTCTCTACGCTTCAGGTCATATCTGTGCTCTTGGTGTTCTGTTAGGTTCTTTTACTTATGAAATAATGACAATTTCCAGCATGGGCCATAACCATCTACATATTAGAAGAGCCAGAGTTTCGACTTGGTTACTTCATGGCAATAAAAGTAAAGTTAGATATATTTTAGTCATTTTAGTGTAAACTCTACGTGACTTTTTTTATTGAACCCACTGCATCCACTAATCCTTATTTCGCTATTCTTCTTCATAGTTAGCTTTCTTCTCTCTTGATCTTCCTCGCTGATGCCTTTGATTTTCAATGAATTTTACACATAACTAGGTATCTTTTTGGTGTGCTCAATTCAGGTTTTATTTTGCTTTAATTTCAATTCAGTTAGATTTTTTAGTTTTTTTTATGCTGTTGTATATAACTAAATTGATATTTGTTCAGTTTTAGAGTTAATTAAGGAAATAGCATTTGTCGCGAATAAGGTCAAGAAGGGGTCAAGAATGGTACGCTCAATGGACATGTCTCTCTTGATAATTTGAAGTAAGCTTTTTCTTTTGCACCATTCGTGTTTGATGACATGCAAAGCCTCTTTGATACTCGAGTCACTAAGGTTTAAGAATTTATCCCATTGTTGAATTTGAGGGGTTCTGCTTCTTTATTTTTGCAGGACTTTGTTATTGTAGAATAAAGGTATTTATATGTACTGCTAATAGATTTTCAGTATTGTATATTTCCATATAGTTGGTATTTGTGTTGAAGCTAACGACCACTTTTGTTTCTCTATTTTCATGACCTCAATCTGATTTCTTAAATAAAAAATTCTTTGTCGCCAAGGTTGTCACGACCCAAAATCCCAACCCGGTCGTGATGGCGCCTCTCGTGAGGACAAGGCCAGCCAATCAACAAAACAGTACATCTTTTTATAATCACTTAACAGGAAAAAGTCTAAATCATGGGCAATATAATCTTAAATGCGAAATAAACGTGATAGAACAAGGAAAACCCTCCCAACTCAGCCCGAAATCGGGGTGTCACAAGTCATGAGCTACTACAGAGTTTACTAATATTTTACAAAGTCTGGAATTATCATAAATAA